GATATCATCAACGGCGATGTTACACTGTTCCAGCTCAACGTTAGCCAAATACACATTTGGTTTGTCTTGGTTCTTCTGTACACGCATCCATAACACGTGGTTTAGGATATCATCAAAGGCGATGTTACGCTGTTCCAGCTCAACGTGCTTTTCCAACCTTATTCACAGCAGATCAAGGTCTTGATAAATAAACGGTACAAAAAAGATCAATTTTAAATACAAAATGGAAAAACGAGGACCTTTTCTTTCATGGCACGAACACTTGATTGTTTAATTTTACACTCACGAATTTTCCTACGATGAAAAAACCACGCGAACCGTGTATACGTGTTTGTGTATATTCAAGTAAAAACATGATATAGGTCTAACATAACAGACGAAACTCGCCAACTTTTGCCTTGAAAGGGATTTGGTATCGAGGATATTTTCTTAGAACGAGGCTTGTCTAGTAAATAGCGGGCGACCTGTTTCTTAATTAGCCTTCAGCCCACTTGTTTGTTGTTGTTTATATAGAAGCAGTTATTTTTGAGACGGTTTTGTGAAATGTTTGAATTGAAAAAAAAAAAGAAGCAGAATAGAATCGTAAATGTAATTTTTTAAAAAGCTTTTCAACTTGGAACTAATGATCTACCGCTCGAGGGCGCGAAGGTCACCCAACAGACCACAGTTAGAAGCTAGGTGTGGTTGTATTTTATCCAATGACAACAACTACTGTAATATTGAACAACAAGGTACAGAATAACATATCTTTGTATGTGTTCATTTTATTTTATATAAAAAAAGTAAAACCCAAAGTTAACGATATTATCTAGTACTCAGAATGCACCAATACACATATCAGGCGGCGCGTGCATAAATACAAAAAGTCGTGCACATCCTTGGTAATTATTATTACATGTATTTGTGACGTACAATCATTTTTACAAAACAAAATTTGAAAAACAAAACATTATCACAGCACGCTTCAACCGTACAGCTGCTAATGCCAATTTTGTAGTATTGGTTTACGTACTGAATCTACTTCTTTCACGGGTATCATCTATTTTTGGAGGTTCATTGAAACTTTATAATTTTCAACAGAGACTTTGCAGTAAAACCTAATTATTGAGAAGTGAATTCCGATAAGTTAGCGACGGGTACTGTTACAATTATTATCATTTTCAGTAAACAACAGGACATAGTATGGTAAGAACCTCTGTCGATGTAATGCAATCCTGAAAAGGATTTTCGGAAAATACCTCGTTTAAAGAGATCAGTAGAAAATCAAAACAAAAACAAGAAAACTACGTATTTTTCAAAGTTTTTTTTTATCATAATTTTAATCATAGCGTTTACAGGATGTCCCTAAAAATATTTTATCAAGTTAGGCTTGACTTGTCATTTATAAGAAAATTTCTTTGTCTTGCCTGGATTATCTTTATCTTTCTCGATAAACGGTTATTTTTTTATGTGTTATCAGGGGCCGGGCGTGGCCTAGTAGACAGCATGCAGAGATTGTGAATTCGTTGATTCACGGTTCGCGACTCGTTACCTTTAAAACGCGCCCCGCACTTTAGGATCATGTGGAAGTTATAAGAGTGGTACTCAAATCCCACTACTCTCTAAGACAAAAATAGCCCAAGAGTTGGCGGTGAGTGCTGTTGACTAGCTGCCTTTCCTCTAGTCTATGAGTTTAACAATTAGGTGTTGGCTGAGTAAAGAGAGGGGCCCTTTGTGTAGCTTTCTGCGAAAAATTTGCAATAACTAAATATATAATATGTTTTCTAATATTTCAGTAAATAGTAAACTTTAAAGCAAGTAACATTTGGGATAATCTCCTGCAAAGTTGGTATACTTTAAGAACGTCACTTTTTAGAAAATACCCGATTTCACAATGAACTGCTAGTTAACTTTTTCCCGGCGATGGGGTGAGATAGGCTAAACAAAGAGTTGAGGGGGCTGCACTCTACATCATGGGGGGCATATATTCAGTATTTAGGAAGTGAATCAGCTTTTACAGTAAGCATTATTTGTTGGGGGCTACAGAGGAGGCTAAGGCACGATTTTGGAGCAGCTTCGGTACCAGCACCCCCTCCTTTCCGCCGCCCCTGCTAATTTTTTTTAAGTCAGTACAATAAACGAATTCGTTCATCTACCAAATTGATATCACTTTTTATAATACACTCACGAAACAAGGTTAAGCATTCAAGTTCGATTCGGTCCATATGTTGATTAACTTTATGTTTTTACCTGTAACAACACTGACCAAATAAGTCAAGAGAAGTCACTCGTTTTCTATGGGGTAACTACAAAAGATGGCTCCCCCCCCCCCGCGTAAAAAGTAGTTGGACCCCTACATTTATTTCCTTATAATTGTAGTTACGATTCTGGCTGATTGATATCGTTAACTTAATAGAACTGGGCAACCATCCTTTAGTTCAAACAAATTAAACTCTTTGTCACTTTGTCTCTCTCCTTGTCGGCAATTATTAAATTTATCTGGTCCCCTTTTGGCTCGCCCCTGCCCGCAATTGCGGGGACATACGCTACTGAGACTACATTAGTGAGTGTGGGATTAGTTGCATTATTAATGGTATTTTTGACTGCATTTTAGACATGTTAATATGACATGTTAATATAACACAATAAAGCTATAGACTCATTAGCAATAGGGTGTATAATTAGTTTAGAAAAGTGTCTTTAAAAAGCCGATGGAGCCATGTGGAGATACATTGTTAATTCTAGGGTTAACTTACATGTACTAATTGAAGGAGACTAGCAATGAAAACTATTTAGTTACATTAGTTTCTCAGTTATGAAGTACATAAGTGAATTTCATTTTAGTTGTTTTTTACGACTTTCTTTTAACATCAGACATTTTAAAAGAGAGTAGTTCCAAAATAACACAGTTCATAGTAGATGTCAGACTTTTTTATCTATGAAATGTGGGTGTAGTAGCAATAGGTTATTCGGTCACTTCAAGGTTAAAATAAACTTCAAAATAACACAGTTCATAGTAGATGTCAGACTTTTTTATCTATGAAATGTGGGTGTAGTAGCAATAGGTTATTCGGATTACTTCAAGGTTAAAATAAACATTAAAATAATATATTTCAGGTATGGATTGATTCAGTGATTATATTGAGGTGATTTATTTTTGTAGTAGCGACGTGGATCACAGCGTGGTCCAATCAGAAACAAGATAGCTAATGTCTCGAATTCTCAAAAGGCGGAACACAATGTGGATTAGTTAGCTATCTAAGAAAATGAAGTTATAACACTGGCTGATTTTTTCGGTTACAATGTGGATTAGTTAGCTATCTAAGAAAATGAAGTTGTAACACTGGCTGATTTTTCGGTCACAATGTGGATTAGTTAGCTATCTAAGAAAATGAAGTTGTAACACTGGCTGATGTTTTCGGTCACGGTGTAGATTAGTTAGCTATCTAAGAAAATGAAGTTGTAACACTGGCTGATGTTTTCGGTCACAATGTGGATTAGTTAGCTATCTAAGAAAATGAAGTTGTAACCCTGGCTGATTTTTTCGGTCACAATATGGATTAGTTAGCTATCTAAGAAAATGAAGTTGTAACACTGGCTGACTTTTTCGGTCACAATGTTATTAAAGTTCGTATCTGTAGATAGTAAACTTTAACACGGCCACTACATGGTCAAAGATAGTATCAGTATAAAATAAACTTGTAGCACGCGTAGTCAGTTAGTAATTGTAGAGTGTCAAAGTTGTGGTTCGAGTTGGTTTCTTGTACGTTGTTAGTTTGGAGTTTAGAATATTAAAAACTTCGAAACCTGTAACTTCTTAGTGCATTGCCTGTAAGATATTTTAAACAAATTATTTAATAACAAAATAATTAAAACACACCCTATGACTCCAGAAAACATAACAGTTTTTATTTAAGCCAACTTTCGTTATTGGGGGAAACAGGACACTTGCTAACTGATTTTATGCCGTGTATTATTTATTTTTAGCCCCCTAGTGGCACAGCAGTATGTCTGCGGAATTACAACGCTAGAATCCGGGTTTCGATATCCGTGGTGGGCAGAGCACTGATAGCCCATTGTGTAGCTTTGTGCTTAATTACAAACAAACAAACAATTTATTTTTTAAAACAGTGAATACAACTCCCCAGCTTGCACTATAAACTTTAAACCCTCGTAAATTATTTAATACTTAATAACGATAAACATCAGATTGTAATGTTAAGTTTTATGGTATGTCTTTATAAACGTAATTACTATTTACGGCAATATTATTTAAAGAAGTTGAAAAAATTGCCAAAAATACTCGCATACTTATTTTTATCTTACATGTTTTGTTTAAATGTGATTAATGTCTGTGTTTCACTTTTCAAGGGCAACTTTTTTGTACATATCACACAACAGGTACACATGCGCATCAGTTTAGTAGTGTGTTTTAGCGCCATTAGATGGCAGTGTTGATGTTAACATCGCAGAATGCACACTGTTGGTAGAAGATGCTATATTGGCATAACGTGACAAACGTAAGCTAATGATGACAGTAGATGACACATGTAAGCTACTGTTGGCAGTAGATGACATGTAAACTAATGTTGGCAAAATGTGTTGGCAGCAGTGATATATATATATATATATAAGTTGGTGTTGGCAAGTGATATAAGTAAGTTGGTGTTGGTAGTAGTTATATATATATATATATATAAGTTGGTGTTGGCAGTAGTGATATAAGTAAGTTGGTGTTGGTAGTAGTTATATATGTAAGTTGGTGTTGGCAGTAGTAATATAAGTAAGTGATGTATAAACGTGAAATAATTAACGTACAATCACAAATGAGTCAGATTCTTACTGAAACACTGTTAAAATATTTAAAAAACGTTTTTCAAGTCCTTTAAATCACAGAGATATTAAAAGGCTGCCGTATTTCAATCCAAATTTGGTGTTTTTCCCAACTTATTAATGTTAACTTTCTTTTCATTATGGGAATGATATTGTTTTCTTTCGCTTCAAATTCGAATATCAAGGCAAAAAGTGACCAATCACAACTCTGTTAAACATACGAAAAATTATATACATTTTTCAGTGGTTTAGAGCACAACGTTCTTTTTTTCACGATATTGTAAACCACATGTAAAACAACATATTTTTCAAATTTTTGTGATAAGAATGTTTGAATGTTGTTTGTTTGTGGTGATTACTTTTACATTAAGTTCCAAGGTAATTGGTTCTTGTAGATATGGGTTGTCGAATCACGTGTTTCTTAAGTTTTAATGGGGTGTGGTTTCTCTATATAATTGAAATAGATTAATATAATATTTTCAAAGCTGGTTTCGTAGTTAAATTGTACTAAAATCCAAAACTTTGTGCTTTAAAACAAAATTATTTAAATGTAAGAATAACTGAGCAATATAAATTAATGGAAATCCCATAAAAAATACAATTATTGGTTGTTAGACAAAGCAAACGAACTACTTTGGGGAGCTAAAAACGTCCCCCCAACCTCATTACCAAAATTGTGAATTTTAGTCAAAAATTACTGTTTTGGTGATGAGAAAAATACATTAATTTGATTTCGTTTAACAGAATGAAAGAATAAGTTAATAACAATAATGATATTTATTTGTAGTAAGTACAATACACACAAAATTCCATGTCATGAACATAAAACCACCATTTTGTTTTTCAATAAAGTGATAGAGAGAGAGGGCAGTTGGTCAAGAGCACCTACCGCCAACAGGTGAGCTACTCTAATAAAATATTATGATTTTACCATCTCTCTTCTAACGTACTCATTGTGCAGAGCACGAGTTTGTGACAACGGGACGTAAACCATGAACTCTCAGATTCACAGACCGGCCAAGTTTGTTATTTTGGTGGAGAGGGCGTGAAGCTACTGACCAGAGCAAAAAACAAGATCTCACATAGTAATGAAGTTGATGCAAGTCAATAGCTTGTATTGAAGTAAACGGAGTTAATCAGCCTCAAAGTGCAGAGCGCGACTTTGTAGCAATGGGACCTCAACCATGAACTCTATGATTCCCAGGAGATTAAATGATAAAGAATGCTTCAATTTCTTCAATAAATGTAAACTTCATCAATTAAAATGCGAGCATCACATTCGTCAGTAGCACCAATGCAGTTTTCTGAATTCCTTGTTAGCAAAGAGAAAAAGACTGAAAAGAAATAAAAGATCCAGGCTGTAATTATTGTTTGTAATTAAGCGCAAAGCTACACAATGGGTTATCTGTATCGAAACCCGGATTCTAGCGTTGTAAATCCGCAGATATACCGCTGTGCCACTGGGGAGCCGGCTGTAATTAACTTGAAGAGGTAGTTTTATGACTAAACGGTACAACAAATATCATATTAAAAGAAGGCCTGTGGTAGTTTTGTGACTAAACGGTACAATAAATATCTCAATAAAGTACGGCCTGAGGTAGTTTTGGGACTAAACGGTACAATAAATATCATATTAAAAGAATGCCTGGGGTAGTTTTGTGACTAAGTGGAACAATAAATATCACATTAAAAGAAGGCCTGGGGTAGTTTTGTGACTGAACGCAACAATAAATATCACATTAAAAGAAGGTCTTACAGTCACTACCAAAACGCAGTCGGTGACTCAGAGGTAAGCTTCAGAGCTTATAAGCTAAAATTGGGTTTGATCCCATCGGTGAGTGGGCGCAGATAGCCCAATATATAGTTTCTAGGGTTAACAACACACACACACACACATATACAAATAAACCGCGATATAGGTCTGAAATGTAGTCGTTAGTATACAGTTCATAAAGCCAGGTTAAGTTTTCTCAAGCATGAATGGTATAAGCAAATTCTGACATTTTTATGTTGAAAATACAACATTGCTTTTGTATTTACTCTTTAGTAAAGTGAACTTCACAGTATACACAGACAAAAGTAATGTTTATGTATTAAAAAGTCATTCTTTTGCATATTAAAGAATGATTAAGTTAATAACGCTCAGTTATTATTCGAGCTCTGATTCTTCAAATAAGTACTTAAATGTACTTTAAATTTCGGAGATCAAACAATCCCAGGAAATCGTTTGTACACAAGAAAAAACAGAATAATACAGATGGTAAAAACAACATATCTTTCTGTCACCGTATTATAGATAAATTGGTGTAATCAACAAAATATTTTCATGTTCTCTCTGTGCCCCCTAGTGGTACAGCGGTTAGTCTGCGTACTTACAAAGCTAGAAACCGGATTTCGATATCCGTGGTGAGCAGAGCACAGATAGCCCTTCGTGTAGCTTTGTGCTTAACTGCAAACAAACATATTTTCTCTCTGTAACCAGCAAACTATTTTCATCTCCTCGTAATATAAAAATTATTTATCGACTAATCTCAACCACCTAGAGAGATATTATTGAAATTAAGACCGAAAATATCGCTAATAGCAAAGTTACCTACATAGTGAATCAAGCATGGTATATATATATATATGTCATGCGAACATGTACAGAAAATGGATAATGATGCATTGTATTTAAATACACCCAAAAAACAAAAGTGCACAAATCATATAACGAATTTTTCGTACTGATATGACATTTATATCCATATAGCATCTTATTACACGCATCCCAATCACGTTTTTATATCACAGATTTATCTTAACTTATTTCAAACTACAAATTCGATTTCATTTTTCTCTCCTTACTTTTGTGCTTCGGTCTTTAAGATAAGAAAAATAACTACATAGAATTGAATATATATAAACAATATCAAGAACCGACTTTCAATATAACGCTTTATGTGTTAATCCGGATTTTCCCAGGAGATGAATTAGGTTTCATTTTACGAACCGATGTTACGTATAGGACTCCTTAGGCTCCTATTGGACTACTCTAACGCTTACTGCACTGGGCGTGTAGCCAACTAGGTCCGAGGGTGCGATGGCAAGAGCCACCTTACGAGTTCGGTGGTTTTATAACTATTTGCGTAGTTCCGCTGCAACAGTGTTTTGGTTAGTATGCAGAGATGAAGGACTAAACATAAGGCTTAGTGGAAGCGAACAACGTGCAATACACGGCGGTGAAAGTCGGCGAGTGACTTAAACCTTTTGTTGTGTGAATCGACCACGTGAGAAAGGAACGAAACAGCTATTCCTGTGTTTAAAATATTATTAGATTCTGGGATTATGTTGTGGACAAAGACTTCTGTGTTGTTTTTATTCCTTTCGTTTAGCATCCCAGCCCACGGACAACAGCGAGATGTTTCTCTTACCGAGCAGGATATAATCGAACTCAACAGTGGGATCGAGGTAGCTTTCGGAAGGACCGTGTTTGTAGACCCGACTAGAGACCTAAAAATTAAAGTCCGAGATGCGGATAGATGTACCGTTACGGTTATCCAGAATGACCCTTTATCTCAACGGCCAGGTAAGCTGCTTCCCTCCCATTTCCCTTGCCAGTTTGGTGTGCAGGAGGTGCAGTATTTTCATTTCGGGGCCCGCACACCTCCCCAGGATAGAATTAAACTGATATTACGATATGATACAGCTGATGACACCATAATTGTACCATTTACCATACACGTCGAGGTATTGTTCGTGCAACTTGAGCTCGTTACTAAAAACATGCCGATTCTAGTGGAGAACCTTCTAGGAATAAGCGCGCCAATTGACGATAAAGCGTTACAGTTTTCGTACGATCGGAACAACCAGGAGTGTAAGGTAACGATACTGGGCAAAGTTAGTGGTCTGCCGCGGTATGGAGAGATCTTGAACACCACCACCAATGGAGTGATGCAAAACTGTGATAGCTTTTTGAAGGCGGATATTCGCTACAATCATACTTATACTCATCGTTCGCCTAATCAGGATCACATACCGATGGTGGTGGAGGTGACTGATCTTAATGGGAATTTACTGAAACAGGAATATTTTCACTTGACAGCGAAAATCAAGGGCGGCCATCCCAATAGTCCTCCTCAGGCAGATTTTAGTTCTCTACTCCTACTGGACGTAAATCAGTTCATCATGACGGCTATCACTCCTCGAATACTTTCAGCACAAGATCTGGAAACACCTCCTGAGAACCTCATCTTCAACATCACGTCTCCTTTGGGTTACGGAGAAGGCCATATCGTGAGTACCGATGATCAGAATGTTCCCATTACATCCTTTTACCAGAAAGACCTTGATGACCTGAAGATAGCTTACAAGCCTCCTGCATCTGACTCTAACATTAAAAGAACTTTCGAAATTAAGATGGAAGTGATAGATGCTGAGGGTTTGAATTCTGAACCATTCAGTTTGATGATCGTGGTTCATCCTAAAAATACCTTAGCTCCTTTAGCCACACGAAATTCTGGCCTTATGTTGTTTGAAGGACAGTCAAGAAAATTACAGAGTTCCAAGAATCTGGAAATAGCTGATGAAAATAACATTGATGAGGTTATAGTGTCAGTCTCAGATGGGCTGAGACATGGTCAGTTGTTGTTCATGGGAAGCCCAGTGAAGCAGTTTTCCCCTGCTGACTTAGATGCCGGTTTGGTGACATATCAACATGATGGTAGCGAAACTTATAGTGATAACATAATATTTATGCTGAATGATAGGACTAAACAGGTCGAGTTTCTCTTTCCTGTAATTATTTACCCAGACGATGATGAACCACCTGTATTAGATGTGAACACTGGATTAACCATTGCAGAAGGGGAGAAAAGAAAAATTACCCCATTTGTACTTAGTGCTACCGATGTAGACAGTGATGATTTAACAATAAAATATGAACTACAACAACCATTTTCTTCAGAAGGGGAAATTTTAAAAAAACAACTTGAGGTACCTAATGACCTCCAAAACTGGCAGTTTGTGGATGGCAACTACGAGAGACCCATTACAACCTGGACACAACACGACCTTCTGGAAGGAAAGATATTGTACAGACACAGTGGAGAGCATAAAACTGAACCTGTCATAGAGAAGATAAGATTTCGTATTTCAGATGATAATATTCCTCCAAATGAATCTAATGACAAAGAGTTTGTAATAAAGATCATACCTCTGGATAAAATCCCACCCGAGCCCTATCCAGGAACTCCTCTTGAAATGGTAGTAGATGAGTTTGAGAATGCTGACATCACAAAAAAACACCTTCATTTCACAGATATTGATACTAAAGACCGCAAACTTAAGTACAAGATCACCCGTGAACCATATGACACAGACCCAAATAATCCATTGGACCCAGGAAAGGTGGTTTTATCAGAAAAACCTGACCAAGAAGTTACCGAATTCACCCAAGCTCAAATAAATCACCACAAAATAGCCTATAAGCCACCATCAGTTGAACAAGGCATTATTCCAAGGGTTATTCAGTTTGAGTTTGAAGTAGAAGATCTGGCTGGGAATGTTCTTCCAGGACAAATATTCACCATCCGGCTGCTACCAGTGGATAACAAACCCCCAACTATCCGTAATAAAGGACTGGAAGTATTTGAAAACGGTTTTGTAAATATAAGTCCCGATGTTTTGGACGCTGATGATATCGATACCGATCCTAACTTTATTTTATTTACTCTTAAACAAGTCCCTAACAATGGCAACATAAACCATGGAGATGTAAAACTAGAAAAGGAAGATAACTTCACGAAGAACGACATTGCTGACGGACTGATAAACTATGTCAATAGTGGTGCTGAGAAAGAGAACGATAAATTTGAAGTTGAAGTTTCAGATGGAACTCACAAGGTTCCTATAACCGTCAATGTTAAAATTCGACCTATTGATGATGAGCCACCTATTCTCCAGTTAGCTCCAGGTACGATTGGTCTATCCATAGACGTCAGGGAAGGTGGCAGAACACATATCACCAATAAGGTTATCAAAGCCACTGATCCAGATACAGATGATTTGAAAATAACATTCTTCATTGATGATCCTCCTACACAGGGTAGAATTGAGCTGAATGGAATAAGCACTGACAAGTTTACTCAAGAAGATGTGGAAAAAAACACAATATTTTATGTGCATAATGGAGATGAGATTGGAGAAAATAGCACCGTGGATACTTTTAAGCTGTCTGTTTCTGATCTGTCTAACGATTTATTGTTCGGAGGTAATAAGATAAACTATATTCAGGTGGATGTCAATATTGAACCAGTTGACAATGTGGCACCTGAAGTAACTGTGGGTCCAGAATTAGTTGTTCCTGAAGCAAACAAATCTATTATCTCAACGTTCCATCTGAATGCTGTGGATATTGATACTAATGATGATGATATAGTGTGTACCATCCAAGTCCAACCACTTCATGGTTATGTGGAAAACATATCTCCTGCTCCAGGATCAGAAAAATCAAGAATTGGAATTCCCGTGACTGCTTTCAAAATATCTGACATAAAAAAGTACCATATAAACTATGTTCAGAGTGTCCACAAGAGGGTGGAACCCATTAATGATAGTTTGACTTTTAGCTGTTCAGATGGAATAAACTTTTCTCCACACTCACTCATTCCAATAAAAATTGAACCAACCAATGACGAAATTCCGGAAATATTTATGAGAGAATTTATTGTTCAAGAAGGTATGAAACTAAGTATTGATCTACCCATACTAAATGCAGATGATTTGGATATTCCGGAGGATACATTAACATTTAGAGTGAAAACCAAACCCGAACATGGTAAAATTGTTATCCAGCTGGCCACTGGAGATGAAGAGATAGACAGTTTCACCTTAGATCAAATTTCTTTAGGATCAAGCATTTTGTATGAGCATGATGATTCTGAAACAACAGAAGATGTGTTGGAGTTGGAGTTAACTGATGGTCTGCACAATATCAGCAAGAAGGTGCTAGTAATAGTGTTACCTGTTGATGACGAAACTCCTCGTTTGGCAATCAATGATGGATTAGAGGTTGGTAAGGGAGAAAGTAAAATAATTACAAACACAGTATTGAAGGCAGAAGATCTGGATACCGAAGACAGTGACATAATATTCGTAGTTAGACAACCACCTAAACATGGAGAATTCATAATTTTGGATCCCATTTCTCGTTTGCCTTTATTCAACCTGACGAAAGGTTCTAATTTTACCCAAGGTGATATTGATGAAGAAGTGATCATGTATACTCACACAGGAAGGGAGGGTGTGAGAGATCTAATCAAGTTTGACATTACTGACGGCTACAACACATATGTTGACAGATATTTCTGGATTTCGGTAGAAGGGGCTGATCAAATCTTTCCTGACGTCATCAATAAAGGCGTAGAGCTTCCAGAAGGGGGAAAAGTCACGTTAACAACAGATGTTATTAGTACCAGTGACCTCAACAGTGATGATGAACATCTAAGATTCATCATAACCAGACCTCCCATCAGAGGGTATCTGGAGTCTACGGACAATCCAGGTGTTCCAGTAACATCATTCACTCAATTGGACCTCGCTGGCAGCAAGATCTATTACGTACACACTGATGATGAAGAGATCAAAATGGACAGGTTTGAGTTTGAAGCAACTGATGGATATAATTCTGTTTACCGGACATTTAGGATCTCCATCAGCGACATTGACAACAAGAAACCACTTTTATTCTTAAATAAACTTCGTGTCCTGGAGGATGGGGAAAAACTAATTACTCCATTTGAGGTAAAAGTGGAAGATAAAGACACAGATGATAAAAAGGTAAAATTCACTATCACTCAGGGCCCAGTACATGGTAAAATCTTATATAACAAATTACAACCCATCAAGGTTTTCACATTAGAGGATCTTCGACAGAACAAGATTAGTTACCATCACGACGGAAGCGAGAGTACACAGGATGGTTTTTCTTTCACCATAACAGATGGAACCCATATGGATTTTTACGTTTATCCAGATACTGCAAAGGAAACTCGCAAACCTCAGACATTAGAAATAGAAATTGTTCCTTTCGATAACAGTATACCCCAAATTGTGATTAATAAAGGTGCCTCATCCATAGATCTACTGGACAATGGTCAGCTTGGATACCGCTTTACCAACAAAATTCTTCGAGCAGAAGATTCGGACAGTCAGAATATTATTCTAGAGTACACCATCACCATTCCACCAAAACATGGGTCCATCATCAACAAGGCTGTAGGAAACGAAAGCATTTCTAACTTCACTCAAGGTAGGCCCATATTTAAAAACATTTCTAACTTCACTCAAGGTAGGCCCATATTTAAAAACATTTCCAACTTCACTCAAGGTAGGCCCATATTTAAAAAACATTTCCAACTTCACTTAAGGTAGGCCCATATTTAAAAACATTTCTAACTTCACTCAAGGTAGGCCCATATTTAAAAACATTTCCAACTTCACTCAAGGTAGGCCCATATTTAAAAACATTTCCAACTTCACTCAAGGTAGGCCCATATTTAAAAACATTTCCAACTTCACTCAAGGTAGGCCCATATTTAAAAACATTTCTAACTGAATGGCACTGAATTGTTTCTGATACTTTTACTAGCAGCCTTTCCTTGTCATAACCTATAAAACAGCTTCTAATCTGACGTCGCATTTTAGAATAAAGTATGTGTATCGGTATCTAAACTAACAATATTATCAGGTGTAATAAGTACGTTTAACGAAAAAACTTGTTGAAGTATAGTTTTAGAATAAAGTATGTGTATCGGTATCTAAACTAACAATATTATCAGGTGTAATAAGTACGTTTAACGAAAAAACTTGTTGAAGTATAGTTTTCCAGTAACGTACTTTTTCTTTATTGTTATAGTTTGTTTGTTGTTGAGCGCAAAAATACACAATGGGTTATTTTTGTTCTGCCCACCGAAGACCGATATTTAACGTTTAAACTCTCAGACTTACCGCTGAGCCACCAGGAGGCTTGTTTGTTTGTTTGGAATTAAGCACAAAGCTACATAATAGACAATCTGTGCTCTGCCCACCACAGATATCGCTTTTTTAGCGCTGTAAATCCGCAGACATACCGCTGTGCCACTTGGGGGGGCACCAGAGGGCTATTATTATTATAGCACAGAAATGTTAAACTCAAATTTTGTTACTCAACGACTTACTGGAGGACTGGATGTTCACTAATTTAAGTTTTTATGTTAACTTTTTGTAAGCTTGTTTTACGTTTTATCTTGACCACTTAAATTTCCTGTCAGTTAAGTCCCCCTGTTGGCATAGAATTAAGCTTGTGGGTTTATAACGCTAAAAATCGGTAGGCATAGCATGGATAGCCCAATATGCATTATCGCCAAAACAAAACAAACTCTGCGAGACGCGGGTTTGAATCCCCGTCCCACCAAACATGTTCGCCCTTTCAGCCGTGGGGGCGTTATAATGTGACGTTGAATCCCATTATTCGTTGATAAAAGTGTAGCCCAAGAGTTGACGGTAGGTGGTGATGACCAGCTGCCTTCCATCTAGTATTTCATTGCTAAATTACGGACGGCTAGCGCAGGTAGCCGTTATAATGTGACGGTCAATCCCACTATTCGTTGGTAAAAGTGTAGCCCAAGAGTTGACGGTAGGTGGTGATGACCAGCTGCTTTCCATCTAGTACTTCATTGCTAAATTACGGACGGCTAGCGCAGGTAGCCCTCGTGTAACTTCAAAACAAACAAACAAAACAAAGTATAACTTGAGTTATATATATATGAGACTAATTGAAGATAAACTACTCAGGTTTCTGATAGATTAATGGTTCAAAATTCACCAATCAAAATCACATTTTAACGTCAAGTACAAAGGAATTATTGTGTTATTGTTTATCTATACGTATTTATTACTCATTACTCTATTCGTTAAAGCACGTAATGTATGCTGTTTTGTGTTCTTAACATGAACGACATCTAACACGACATATGTGATAAACGACTAGGTTACAGTCTCCAACGTAGCCACTTCTAATTTAAAACTGCTGAACAGAGGGAGGGCAACTAGTCCCTAGCACCCATCGCCTACATAACTACTCTTAACGAAATAACAGGATTGACTATCGATTTGATTTTGCGCCCAAAGCCAAAAGTGTGGAGAATGTTCAGTGGCACGTCGTAGCTCGAACATTGGACCTCTGGTTCGCAGCCGGTACGTTAACGACTACCCACGCCCAATTCTACAAAGATGAAAATAACCCCAATAAGAAAGTACGTACGAAAAACTCTAATCGGTTATGATTTTCTTAAAGATAAAACTATTATCTAACAACTTAACTTAGCAATACTAAAAAAAAATCATGTATAATAAAAAATGCGATAACCCGGATGTTAGACCTTCTAAAAACTTAATCTGGCATTATTGTATGGTAACACATCGCCTGTTTTAATTCTGGAATTAAAAATGATAAAAACAATCGTATAAACAGAAACTGTGCAAGTCAGTTACTAAAAAGAAATTTGAAATATGGAATTAGGTTCTGCGTGATAGGTAAAAGACAACCCAAAACACCATAAGTAAGTCAAGTTTCAATTACTTATATTAAAAGCTGCTCAATAATTTTGGTCCTAAAGCCACCTGGTGTTGCCTCGGCCATTAACATTCCATGTAGTTTGATTTTGAAAAGTAACAACAATCATTATACTGTTTAGTTTCAGAATAATCAATATAAAAAGTTTGATTTAAAAAAAAAGAACTATTTTATAATGTGAATGTAAAATTATTTGTTGTATTTATCTGTGATATTATTCAATCCTTGGTGTGTCTAATTATTGGGCCCCGAGCGTGGCCTAGCGGTTAGCTTATCGGATATTGATCCGAGGGTCTCTGGTTCGAGCCGAAGTGCTACCAAACACACTATGGGTGTATTATAAGAAACTTCGCTATTCGGTTAAGAGTATTCGCTTCAGGCGGCGGGGGTGCCGACTGGATGACTTCCCTCTAGTCCGCATTTCCAAAATAGGGACCACTATGCCTGGACCATAGAGGTATCTGACCTAATTGTTTAGCTCATTGTGAATAAACTATTCTAACTAATTATTGGTTAGAATTGGTTATTGTTGTTGAATTCAAACACTGGATGTAACTTGTTTATTGTTGAGGTTCAAGGGCGTCGTTAAGGGATTTTGAAATCTACAAGGAGACAGGGCGGGGGTTTGAGAGGTATCCCTCCAATGGGAGTTTGGTGGCAAGAAAAAACTCCTTACAGCTATCCCCAGGATAGTTACATATATGTACATATTATTAATAATTTCCTACAGTTGTTTTTATTTTACACGAAATTTAATTTTTTCAGACCTCATAATTTAATAATATGTCATCCACACTATATCTGTTATATCCAAAAACAACGACACCTTTCGCACAATAGCAATACTCTCCAAGCTAGATGGGCACATTTCTGTAATTTGTAAGTTATGTTAATTGTAACCTTTTCTTTTTTTAATACCACTTGTGATTCGTTTCTCTAACTTGCATGCTGGCTCTAGTCCACTCCCCTTATTTACAGATTCTTTTAATGTATTCTCTACCTTATATATTGTCTGTAATTCACTCCTCTTATTTACAGATTCTTTTAATGTATTCTCTACCTTATATATTGTCTGTAATCCACCCCTCTTATTTACAGATTCCTATTATGTATTCTCTACCTTATATATTGTCTGTAATTCACCCCTCTTATTTACAGATTCCTATTATGTATTATCTACCTTATATATTGTCTGTAATTCACTCCTCTTATTTACAGA